GCCCTGCTCCCAGCCCTGTCCCTCCCTGTCCCCATGCCCCACAGGTCGTGCTGTGCCTGTCCCCCGTGGGCCCCAGGCTGCGTCTCTGCAGCCGCAGGTTCCCGGCGCTGTTGGGCTGCACCACCATGGATTGCTTCCAGCCCTGGCCCCGCGACGCCCTCGAGTCTGTCAGCCTTTGCTTCCTGCGGGACCTGAGCACTCTGACGGTGAGCAGCCGGGCCACAGGACAGGGCACAGCCAGGGCACAGGGCTGGGCATAACCAGGGGACAGGGTTGGGCTCTGACAGGAGACAGGAGCCATGGGCACCACTCTCCATGTGCTGGGAAGCTGGAGTGTTACTGGGAGCTGCTGTGGTGTCACTGGGAGCTGCTCTGGTGTCACTGGGAGCTGCTCTGGTGTTACTGGAAGCTGTGTCACTGGGAGCTGCTGGCACTGCCCGGGAAGGACAGCTCTGCCAGCTCGGGGCCAGCCCCAAACCTGCATTGAAAATCCCCTGGTGCTCCTGAGCCCTGCAGGGAACACACACTCTGCTCTCCCCTCTTGAGCCTGAGCCTCTGGGATTCTCAAGGGCAAAAACAGGTCACATTCTCRGTGATGACAACCTGCTACTAGACCAGAGATTCATTTCTGTTTATTTAGTTTTTCTGGGCAGGATTTTGGGAAGAATAAAGTCTACAATGTTTCTTTATAGGACTGTGCACTTTTTCCATTTGTACAGAAGAAAAGCCCAAATTTATACTTAAAAGAGCTGCTATTTTGTAGAGAAATGGCTYGGAATGAGATAATGTGTGAGATAAAAAGATATATAAAGAGGTATAAAGTACATGAGCAACAAAGTTATTTTAGAGATAACAGTGAAAAGGGATCAGCTTAGGTTTTACATCCTGGATTGTGCTACAGCAGAATGAAAAGTTACCAAACTCCTTTCTATTCAGCACAGACCTGTGTTATATATAGTTTTCTATTTAAAAGAGTTTCTTCTTGTCCCACCTTTCCTTCAGGACTCAGTGAAAGAGTCAATAAGCAAATTCATGGCCCATGTCCACATCAGTGTCAACGAGATGTCCCGGCTGTACCTGAGCAACGAGCGCCGCTACAACTACACCACCCCCAAGTCCTTCCTGGAGCAAATCAAACTCTACCAGAACTTGCTGCTGAGAAAGGACCAGGATTTAAAGGCAAAAATGGAGCGGCTGGAGAATGGCCTGAAGAAGCTCAAGAGCACTTCTGCACAGGTAAAAACCTTTGGGGTTCCAAGGGGTTAGGTTTCCTTGTTTCTTTTGTCTGGTTCGAGGGAGAACCTTACAGGGAAAAGATTTGTCCTGGATCCTGCCKCTAGTCTGGCTTGAGCTGGGYTCCTGRAGCAGCAGAAGTGATGCTSTGCACTGGAAAGGGGAGTGGAGAGWTGTRTGTCCAGTCTCTGCTGTTTGGGAGRTGAYTGAAAKATCTCAGTAARTAAAATGAGATTGGGATCCAGCTAAATCTGTCATCCTCTTTTAGGGGTTAAATTTCAGCTGTGGTGACAAAAGAGCTTAAAAAATACAGGACAGTCACTGATTTTTGGAGTTACATCCAGGAAATCTCAATAACTTCAGCAAGACTCTTTTAGACTAAATAGTGCATGCTGTTAAAATGAGGCTGAAGTTAATTTTTCCTTCCATTATGTTATCCATCTTTAAGGAAAGCTAATACATGTCTGAAATGTGCATTAGTCATCCCCAAATCCCCCTGCTAAGGACTCACACTGGCACTCTCCTTGGGTGATAACTGGAAGTTGTTCTGGGTGTTTCCCAAGCCTCTCTTCAGTGACACCTACATCTGTTGCCACACTCCCATTTTTCTCTCCATTTCATATTCTATTAAGTCTTACAAATGTTTACTTATAAAACTTGTGCAGTGGCAAATGGGGCTGTGCTGCAGCTGCTCTGGAGGAAGGCAGGGGGGTTGATGAGAATGAAGAGCTGGCAGGTCCTTCCCCTTGCACACACCTGCTCTGGGTGGCACTGGGGGCATCAATCACGTCTGCCACGCTCGAGGGGACACCAGCCTGCCTGCAGGGTGATGGATGGGCTGGGCTGGTGCCTCTCAGCACTGATGTCTCCATCTCCCTTCACACAGCCTCTGCTCACAGGGAGAGCAGCTCTGTGAGGATACACGAGGGGTGGGCACATGTCGTGTCCCCTGGGCAGGTTTGAGCATCTCCTGTGTAGGGGAGGGGGAGCAGAGAGCACCTGTGGCACCCACCAGAGTGATGAGGCCGTGTCCTCACAGCCCAGCTGAC